ATTAACCTGCATGTCTTTGGTCTGTGGTAAAGCCAGAGCACCTGCAGGAAACCCATGCTGACACAGGGAGAATGCATAAGGGCTCTCCCATCACTGGTTCGAACCAACTACCCTCTTGCTTTAAGGCCACAATGCTAACCACTGCACCACCATACTGCCAAGTTATTAAGTTATGAACTTTTACTACATTGAAACTGGAAAAATGATGATGTCATTAGCAATTATCACATCATTGGCTGCTACAGAACCCTAGATCAAAACATCATTGAACATGAATACTTTCCAACTTTAAACTCCTGGGTCATCAACATGGAGTCTGAGACCCCTAAGGGGTCCTCAGAGTCCCTGCAAGAGGGCCGCCATATTATTGTTTGAAAATTTTTATTTATTTTTTTCTTTTCAAAAATAAAAAAAGAAGTCTGAAAATACACATGAACATGAATCCATCATATTTGACTTTTGAAACAACTAGCCTTTGTGAAAGTGAAGTTTCCTCCCTCACCTACCTAAAAAGCAAATACAGGTCGACTGAAGGCTGAGGCTGACACGACCTTCTGCCTGATAACCTCCATCTGCCAAGTTTAATATGCAAGTCAATTTTATGCTATAGCTACATATTATCTATATTATAAAGTATCTGTAAACTATTATTACACATGGACAAATCATTCACAGGGTAGTTAAAAACTGTTTAAACTGTTATTTAAAACTAATTAAGAAGGCTGAACTTGATGGTTCATACGAATCAAGGTCCACTTACTAGATTTCTTCCTGATCTTTCAGCTTCTTAATACATTTTTTTAGATTGCAAGAATTTACAGATGCCTTAAAAAAGATGTATGACTATAATAATATGAATATCTAAAAATGTTATCTGTTTACAAAAGTGATTCGTTAGGCATTTAATTGTTTGCAATACTACAGTGTATGGCAATGTGCTGTGAGGACAGGAGGAGAAGGAAGGCAGTCGGCACTCTGATTGAATTGCAAATCCACATATCTTTGTTTTCCCATGTAAAATCTCATCTTTTATTACATAACAACAGAATGAGAATCAGTTTACAGTAGACTTGAAATAGAATAGAAATGGAGCAGAATGGTGTGATGAATTTTGGTCACACAGTGGATGAGAGCACAGATATAGTGTGACTACACAGAGTAACAGATAAATGGTTTAATGGCTGTATGAACAGATGATTTACTCAGTTCCAAATCAGCACCATGAAATACAAGTAGTGGCAGTTCATGTACTACACATTCTGTATGTGCAACAAAAAAAGTACAGTACAGGAATAATTATGAAAAGTTGCACTACACTGGCAAAAAAGACTCATCAATACAAGGCCATAATATTAAATAAACCCATAACACAGAAAAACAGATAACTGTTAACAATGACTGAGCTGAATTTCACAATTGTGAAACAGGTCATAGTATAGCACCATTTAATCCTTTGGATAAGGCTTTTATTGTTATTGCATGTAAGCTCCATGACTAACTGAAAAGGGTTGCAAGGGTGATGATATGTTTGAACAGCAGCTGCTGGTGACTGTCATTGACTGTCGTGACATTTCAGCTTCATTAAAATCATAGCTGCAAATTAAAGCAACAATAGATGTAAAAACACACGGAGACAATATGTCTGTGAGCAGTTCCCTAATTGAATTTTCACAATTTTTTTCAATCTTTTCCTCTCTTCTAATTTCTCGTTTTATTCAATGGAAGTGATCAATGTAAGTGCACTTGTCCTTTAAACTCAATTTAAAAAAAAAAAAGCTAACAAAATAAAAGATGCCTGGTACATTCATTACAGGCGTATCAGTTTGTAGAACAGTTTTGAACAGTTTTAAACAGTTAGAACAAGGGGCTGCAACGTGCAAATCACTCCTTCTCATGGCAGCCTGCGCTTTCCCTGTCCTCGCGGCTGCAACTTGCGCTTTCTTCATCTACTACTTCATCGCCACTACTGTACACAATTTAAAAACTATAACACCCATAGTTCATGTACGAACTGCTGCAACCAATGTGCAGCCAGCGGGAGCTGCAGGACGACTCAACCACCATGATCAGTTTTTAATGTTTTATCAAGCAATAACTACTCCAGACTCTGCGCTAGTGTCATTTTCGGGATAATTAGGGCAGGATTCGGGATTCGGGACAACTGCTTGGATTTCGGGACTGTCCTGAATTTTTTGGGACGTCTGGTCACCCTACCTGACACTATATGTAGTGACTATTCCATAGATTTATTAAAAGGATCACCATGTTGATAAGATTTAGTTATTATGAATTAGTTTATGAATAGTTTTTTGCTAGCTTAACTGTTACTGTTTTAACTAAAGTGCAGAAGTTCTTCTTTTTATACTTGTTTTTATCAGTTACCAAACAGCTTAAGCTCAGGTCCATTACCACCACACTCTGGACTGTGATTTGAAAAAGGGGACAAAATTGTGTAAAAAGCCAAGAATGAAATAGTTTAAATAATTTACTTTTCTTTAAATTTAATTTCTACATGAACATAATTTCATTTTATGTGTACTAGCTAAGAGCTCATGTCTACAGAGCAGCGGTCTGTGCTCTAAAGGAAGTTGGAATGCCTGACAGCCACGGCTACCAAACAGAATCACAACAGCCCTCCCTTGAGGCCACAGTGGGAAGTGACATGTTTATGACTTGAGGGATCACAGCAATTGACAGATTTAGGCAAGCTATACCATATCTACTGTCAGGATGACAAATACTGAAATAGCCAATGAGAGGTGTTAGTTCTCACTGCTCCTACTGTATGAATTTCTGCTTATACTAATCCCCACTTATAGGACTAACAACTAGAACTGCAGAAGAAGATTTTGCATAGTTTATCTAAGTGGTGAATTTTGATAAATCTTAGAATAGACAGTAATAACAATTGGACTGCATCTGATAGAAAACAACCATGTAGGCTTGGGCGGTATTACAGTATATCAGGGTATTTATAAATCCCAACTGTATGATTTACAATACTGTCAAAAATACAGAAGCTCAGCTTTCTATTAAACTCATATGGAGAGGCTGATTTAATGTATATAATGAACATCACACACACCCAGAGGTCAGTCTCTGTTGATGCATGAGGCAGCTGAGCTGAGTGCCAGCATTAGGGATAATGTGACAGGACTGTAAACAACAGGCTAAGGCAGAGAGAGACCATGGGGAAAACAGCACATTTTCACATCTAAATCAGTGAATTAAGGGTTTAATTTGACCAAACCAGGACTGGTGATTGTTGGAACAGTGTACCAACTAAATAACAGTGTACTAAACAATTAACAGGTGAGATTATCTTGCTTCTGTCAAATTGGAATTAAGTGTGTTTTATGATGAGTTTACAAGGCAATTACGCTAGTCCTGATTCCGTGAAAGAGAGAAGTCATAGACTTTAAAAATGAATTGTACAGCGGTGTCACCCATTAGTTTGTGGAGGCTGGCACTGTAGCGGAATGAGGGGTGGATCTGACTGAGAAGTTGAGGACAGTATCAGTTGACCACTCAAAGCAGCCTGCCCTTAATTATGTGTAACTTTAAGCCTTAATATAAATTTTTCATTTTTTTTCTACCAGACTGTAAACTGTTGTAAAGACTTATTTCTGTTGTAAAGTTGGACATTTTAACATGGGGGTCTGTGGGGACTGACTGGTCTCTGGAGCCGGCCTCAAGTGGCACTTCTTGGCTTCATTTTCTTTCCCCTAAAGAGATGCTGCTTGATAGAAACATGAATTCAGAAGGTGTGTTTCCTGTTTAATAAGGATAACAGGTGAAATTTAGTAAGGTATGAAAAAATACATACTGCCCAAGCCTACAACCATGCACCCATGAGTGTATGTTCATGCTTGCACCATGCTCTGCTTCATCATCTATCCATGGCTCTCAAACAGACCTGTAGATCAGTGTGTCTCCTATCATTAGCTGGGTCAATGTAATCCTACAGCATTTTACCATGGCTCCCAATCAATACTTACACATAACAGTATAGTTAATTAATACTTAAGTACCATAAATATATACTGTGTATATATATATATATATATATATATATATATATGTGTGTGTGTGTGTTTGTGTGTGTAAACCTATTTACTAGTTATTTGACATTGCAACAATTAGCTATAATAGAACACAACAGAGTATAAGACACAATGGAGAGCATATTTGAAAAGATAGCAGAGGGAATCACTCTGGTTTACTCTTAAGGCCCGTTTCCACCGCAGGAACTTCGGGGTAATTTTACGGGGCCGGGGCCGTTGGTGCGTGTCTCCACCGCAGGAACCACCCCCGAAGGACAGAGTTCCGGAACTTTTACGGGGGCTAAACAAGTCCCTGCCTCGGGGTAGGTACTCAGAACGGCCCTGAAAGACTCCTGGCTGGGGCTTGGGGATTACTTGGTGCTGATTGGATATACTCAAGGAGGGATGTGACGTCAACAGAAAGCAACAAAGTAGCCGGCATTTTTAAAACTCAGCAGACGAGGATTAACTCGTTCATATAGCTTCCTCCGCCATGTAAAAAAAACCTCACTAAATGGCCCGTGAAAAAAATATTCTTTCCAGCGGATATCTTAGTTACAACATGATTGAGCTAGCAAAGCAGTTTTGTGTTGCTATGTGTGGTATTTATTCAGTTTTGGGAAATCACGATGTCTAGAAAGCATCAGTGGCTGCCGCTGACAGGGACAGCTAACAGCAGGCTAACATCAGGACGTCATCTGTTAAAAGCCTCCCGTTGTCGGATACGTCATCATGTTGTAACTAAGACATCCGCTGGAATTTTTTTTTTTTCACTGGCCATTTAGTGAGTTATTACAGACACCGCTAAGGGCTATCATTTAATGGCTTCCCTACGTCGCCCCGGTAAATGGTCGCGCAACGATTACGTCACATCCAGAGCCCGTAACTTTACAGGAACCTTCCTCCTACTCCGCTCTCTCAGTGGAGAGACGGTGGTTGAGAGGGCCGAGCGAGGGGACGTTCCTGTAGTAGTTCCTGCCCCCCAAATAGTACCAGGAACTTCTTCAGTGGAAACGGGCCTATAATCCCATCTAATCTTAAAGACCGGTCAGAATAAGTCTGCTTCAAAGTCAAGCGCTTACTGTCAGTGTTTCTTTGCGATCAAGCCATCTGGATTGGCATTATAATGGCCATTTATTTGTTTGGTGTGCAGCAAAAGAAATAAAGGAAATTTTCGAGTCTTAAACAAATCTAGAAGCTCAGGAGACTATTAAAAATGTACATGTACGTGTACTTGCCATTTTCTTTTCTAAATGCAAAAAGTTTTATCAGTAATATAAGTTGTTTTCTCACCATTATTTTATCTTAACATTCAACAACATTAAAAACATAAACAAAAAGGAGTGTTATGTGGAGGAAAAGTAGGTGCATTTGATCATTAGGTCTTGTGCAGTATTCTCTTGGCATAAAAGTCCCTACAGGTTTCACAGCAGCGCTGGTACCACCTCATGTCCTGGCAGAGGTTCTTCTCTCGGATCACGCGACAGTACACTGTCCACTGGTCTCCCATGCATTTGTAGGTCAGAGAAGCTGGGGGGCAGAAGAGAGGCAGCAAGTCAAGTGTCTGGCATTACAGTGTCAAAGTCCTCCAACCTAAACAATAAAATACTATACCAATACTAGTGGTTTGCCACTGTAGGACAAAGTAAGTGAGAAGACATCATTCACACCTTTCAAAGCTCTAACCATGTTTGTTAATTGTTTAATTTTTTGTTGTTGTTGTTGAGGCTAGTGTACCATCTTCTCTACTGTATGTACCACTGAAAAAACATCTCATCTATCCTAGGTTTCTTTGTGTTATTTAGTTATTTGTTGCTTTAACCTTGAGTTACTGCACTCACTATGCTTTTATATTCTTGTGGACATCATCTATGATGTCATGGCATTAACCACCGATGGGGGGAAAATGGTGTTGAGTAAAATTTATCATGCGGAATGTAATTTGTTCAATTTGTACGGTTACACAGTTTGTATATAAAATAGGTGTTTTGAAGTGTTGATTTATTTATTAAGTATTTGTTCACCGATACTTACCAATAGGATTTGGTGTAATATCATTACATTTACAATGTCACATTATGCAGTAACCACCTGAAAAATAAACTGTTATTGTTTTTATTTTTCATTAATCCACACCGCACCACTTCCATCAGTGCACCACCAGAACAATATCCCCCCAAGTTTTTTTGTCCCATCTTATGGAAGGGTGCCCGTGATCAGCACATGTACAAGATGCTGTACTGTGCATTAGCATGTTCAGTGTGTTTCCATTCATGTACCCAACAATGTCTTAGCATATCTCATTTTGCTTTTGTGTATGAAGGCTGCTTGAAATCTGTGGGAATAAGGACACAGGCTCCAGTTTGTTTGCTTTTTGTCCCAGTGATTGGCACATGTGGATGATGCTGTCAAATATGCATTAGCATATTGTATGTTTTTCCATTCACATCCTCCACAATGCTGGAGCAACACCAACTGTCCCCCTCTTTAACACCTCCCTCTTTGGTGCTGTTGTACCTGGTCGGCACACCCAGCACCAGAAGATGGGTCTTCCAGCTCTGGTGTGTATTAGTTTGCGCTTGTCATTGTGACTGACTTGCATGCCAATCTGCTTAAGTTGAGCTAACCTCAGCATTTGTCCATCATGTTTCATTTGATAGACCTAAAAATATTTAGCCCTGTCTCACAAGTTACAAGACTTTGATCCTTTGTCTGCTTGTCCCTGTGTCCCTGTGTTTGATTAAAAATGAGTAGGCTATTTGTGATATATCACCCCACTGCTGTTGAAATAAGAGGGTGATTTCAATTAACAGTGGTAGTGGTTACCATGCATGTGAATGCATGAGTGGGCCAGACCATTGCTCTAAAGGGGAGCCTTCATGAATTCAATTAAATTCAATTCAATTCAAACAACTTCATTTGTCCCAAAATAGCGCAATTCAGTTTACAGTCTACAGCCGATTATCAGATTAGGCGAAACAATACTGTCCATCACTGGATTTGTGGACTACAATAAACTGGAGCTTCTGTGCTTTGATTACCTGCTGTCAAACAGCATGACCCTCTTCCATTTATAATGCCTAGTTGTACTTCAGAGGTTATTTTGGTGAAGATAAAAGTAGTATAATAAGTAATGCATTACTTTACACAGAAAGTAATATTGCAAAGTAACTTTCAAATCAAGTTAACTAGTAATATGCAATGTATTATATATTGAAAGTAACTTGCCCAACACTGCTGATAAAAGTAACCTCATCACTGATCTGTTTCTAGATGACTCTTGGATACCCCTGAAACAAACGTGGTTCAGCCTAGACTGTGTCTACGGTAGTAAATAAATGCTGTAGGGCTCACTTAGGCAGTTACTGTTTGTCAGCCAAGAGACACAGGTTAGTGTAGCTATGTGCACGTGACAATAAATGAAGTTGATATTAGTTGAGTTTTCCTGCAGTTAACTGTTGTTTATTTCATTGATACAGTGAATACCTTTACATCATTAAATCAAATGATATTTTGATTTATCCGAAATATCTATTTTAATTGATTTCTGTAACATATTTAAATTCCCAAATCATTTAAACCATGTAAAGCACTTTGTGCTACATTTTTGTATGAAAAGTGCTTTATAAATAAAGATTGACTGATTGATTGATTGATTGATTGATTGATTGATTGATTGATTGATTTCAATTCAGGCATTATGATTCTTACTCATATTCAGGCAAAAGGCCTAAACCAGTTGTAAATTTTGCTTGTGCTTTAGAGAAAATCTTAAAATTGCATCAATTCTGCCAAATTAATGACTCAGTGAAAATTCCCAACAAATTACCTTTAAAACTCCCTGATGGATATAGCAAAATGATCATTTCTTAGCTTTGTTAATGTAACAAGCTGCACATTATTTCAATTTGTGTTTGGTCAATGGCCTTCAGTTAGCCTCTGAGCTCTACTCTTACATAAACTATTGTAAAAATAATGAATGTTAACTACTGTGACATCACCCATTGGTTTTTGGACTCCTGTTTTAAACCTTGAGGTCGATATTAAGGCTGTTGCCATCTTGTTTTATTGGAGCCAGAGGTGACCAGAGGATGGGGCTACAGAGGAGCAAAGGGTGGATCTGGCTGAGGAGCCGAGGACACTATCAGCAGACAGCTTGTCTTTCAAAGAGACCTGCTCTTAAATATGCTTAACTGTAAGCCTTAATAAAATGTTAACTGCTGAGTTATATAAAAATTCACCATGGGTACAGCTGCTGGAATGTTGAAATTAACTATAGCGACCAAAACTCTTGTTTGTACCAGGCTGTAAATGTTTATTTCTGCTGTAAAGTTGGACATTTTATTTTATTTTATTTATTTATTTTTATTTTAATTGTGCAATAGGACAATACAGTGACATGGACAGACAAAGTGAGAACAACAAACAACGATATTTGTGGTTTTATGCGCGTGTGTGTGTGCGTGTGTGTATATGTGTATGTGCATGTGTGTATCACTTGAGAGTACAACTAACAGTATTAACAGTTGCATTGTTACAAAGATAATTATGATAGTTATGACAATAGTGATAGTTATAAAGCTTGATAATAATAACAGTGATAATAATAATAATAGTACCAATAATATAATAAACACTACAGTTAACAGACAGGCAAAAGGAAAAAAACAATAACAATAATAGAAATGAATAAACACACAATCAAACAAAAAATAACAATAACAATAATAATAATAATAAAATAAATAAATAAATAGAAATGCCAACTTACAGTTTTTGCGATAATAATAATAATAATAATAACAATAATGACAACAGTAATAGTAATGAATAATAATAATAATAACAATATGGAGGGCGGATGGAGGTGGAGGGGGTCAGAGGTGCAAATCGCATATGAAATTAAGATTTTTTTTTTTTTAATTATTATTATTATTAGCATTGTTTTTTCCCTTTCCTCTCCCCTTCCTTTTTTTCTCTTTTTTTCCCTTTTCCCCTCTTTTCTTTTTTACGGGATGCCTCAGGCCCCTCCCGACCCACAGGGGACCATCCTGCAGCCCCAACACCGCCGGGCCCCCCACCCCGTCCCCCTGGTGCCCCAGAGTGCACGTAGCGCAACACCTTACCCTACTTCTATATGTATATATAATTTTTTTTTTTTTAATAATTTTTTTAAAAGGTGTGTGTGTTTTCTGATGCATGTAGTACATTAAAATCAGAGTGTATGTGATGTATTAAAAAAAACAAGGTGGGGGAGTGTCATGAGCTGTGATTTGATTGTTTGTTTTATGTTTCCCCCCTTCCTTTTCCTAAACTGGTGAGTAGTGCATTAAAAAAAGGTGATGCGCCACGTGGGAACAGTCCAGGGTAGAAAATTGAGGAAGGGTAGAGGCCAGGAGGAGCGAGGAGACCACAGGCTGTGGTCCAACAAGCAGGGGCCCGAGGCAGAGCCTATGTCTAACGTAAAGTGGCAATAATAATAATAATAATACTCATCACAATAATAATAATGACGATAATAATAATAATAATAATAATAATAATGATAATAATGGTTTTATCCGTTATCCCTCCTCCTCCAAAAACAAAACAAAACAAAACAATCATCACATTAATAATGTCATGTCATTAATAATAATAATAATAACAATAACAATAAGGTAGTACCTATTTGTATTAATAGTAATATTATGATCTATTGTTGTGATTGGTTCCCAGGCAAAAAGGATGTTGATGAGGTACATGACTGAATTTAATTAAGATTGTAAAAAGTTTATGAGTGGTGACCAGATGGAGAGAGGTACTATTGCAGGGCGGTGGGTGGGAGCGGATAAGTTTTCCATGGATATATGATCGATAAGTAAATTTTTCCAAATGTGTGATGTTTGTGTTGGTTTTGGATTTCCAGTTTATGAGGATAGTTTTCTTGCCGATAGTTAAGGCTACAAGGAGTAGTTTGATTTGGTCTGGTGTGTTTAGGTTTGTGACTGATGTGTCGCCGAGTAGACAGAGTGAGGGGGATAAAGGGATGTGGCAGCCCATGAGAGTAGAGAGTGAGTTTGTGACCTTCTTCCAAAACTGTTGTACAGGTGTGCAGTGCCATATTGCGTGGATGTAGGTGTCAGGGTTGTTTTGAGTACAGTTAGTGCAGATTTCTGATGTGGTTTGTGATGTGATTCCCATCTTAAACATTCTCTGCCCAGTGTAGTGATTTCTGTGGAGTATCTTGTATTGTATGAGTTGTAGATTTGCATTTTTTGTCATGAGATATATATTGTGGGTGATTTGGTTCCAGAATTCGGCATCAGGTGCAAATGACAGGTCATTTTCCCATTTTGTAGTGGGTATGGCTAGAGTTTTATCAGATATTAAAATTGTATTGTACATTTTAGAAAGGAGTCTTTTTGATGAGCAGATATTGATTAAGTCTGAGCTTGATGACGGGAGATCGAGATTGATGGTTGTGATGTTATATGCAGCTTGAATTGATGATTTGAGTTTTAGATATTCCAAAAAGTGGTTGCTCCTGA